CGCATCCCGCCGCGATGGGTCCGGCGCCTGTCCTCGCAGGGACACCTTTATTTACCCAAACTGCATCAATCGCGTGCGATACAGGAAAGCCCAGTTAATAGTTTCTCCCTAATATCTACAGGTGTGTGTGTATAATTTTATTTCTTTGTGTATTATTTTATTTCTTTATCTATTCGAGCATCTATTTATTTATTTATCCATTTATTTATCTATTTATTTATTTATATTTAACACCAGTTAATAGCTTATTCATGCTTTGCTGTATTTTTTTATTTCTTATCATTTTGTTTTACTGGAACATCTAATTTCTAAAGGCACGAAAAGCTTCGCTTTATACACCAGGTAAGTAAGGGGTATTGCTACTGGAGACAGGTTAGGAAATGCTGACAGAGAAGGCAAGGGATTTAGCTAAGGTCAAAAACAAGTGTTGTGCTAAAGCAGGGTAGTGTGGCATCTAGACCCCGGGCACTTATTTTTGCACTTTAAATTGTGACCAGCTTAGTTTCCAAACAACACTTATATTTGCATGCCAGAGAGGTCATCTGAGGATTTCTGAGCATCTGCTGTCTTGGGTGCATGCACTTCTCTGGTGATTTTAAGCTCAGGTTCACAACTGTAGCATGATGAAGATGGACTATCCAGCTCAGCTGCAGTAAGTGCAGGTTTCTGCACACTGATCCTATTCGCTTACTGCACTAAGCTAACGTGGACCATCCCCTCCCCTGTGGACTTAGAGGTCACACACGTGTGAGCTCCTGCAGATGAGCTGATGTCAGGTAGCTGGAAAAGCTGTGAACTGGCTCACATGCCTGAGCTCCAATTGTTTTGTGACAGCTGGGATGTTTCAGGTTACCTGTGGGTCTTGCAACTGTTATTGATTTGTGAAAAATTCAGCTTTCTTTGTCAATATTTCTATGACCTGGTAAAGAGGCACAGAAGCACAGCCTGATGAAATTGGGTTTGCATCATGAAGAGGAGCTCCATGGAGGGCAGAGGCAGCAGCAGCTCCTAGGACAGACTCGATGTCCCATCAAGAACATTCCACCCCAACATCCTCATGGTGGCCGCAGTTATTGTCACCCCAGTTGCGCTTGCTACAGTCCATAATTGACATTTCACTCCCTGTGCAACTCACATCATCAAGCCAAATTTGTCCGGTACCTTTGGAAGATCAAACAAACAAACAAACAAAAAACCAGTTGGATGGGATGGGAGAGAGAGGAATATGCCTTTTTTTCCTAAAGAGAGCCCTGTGGACAGTGGGTGTGTGTTGGGTTGTGTGGTTGGTTTGTTGGAAATGAAGCATTTAGGCACAGTTCACGCAGCCCTTGACATGCAGCTCATCCCAAGAGGAACGAGGAGATGGTGGCCTTGCTGTGGCGCTTTCTGTGTGTGTGTGAGCCCCATGGCAGGCCTGGGGGGTGTGGACTCACCTGCTGAGGCTGTGAAGAAGGAGACACCCTGGCTGAACCCCAGCATGCGGCAGACGACGCCGGTCTCGCGCAAGGACCAGCCGTCATCGCAGATGGTTCCCCAGGAGCCTCCGTGGAAGATCTCCACACGGCCCCTCCTGCCTCCTCCTGCGATTCGTATGTAATTAACAGGGCCAGCTGAGAATTCAGAGGAGAAAATAACTCCATGGGTCATACAGGCATAAGGAAAAAGGCACTGACAGACAGAAGTGTGACCACCAAACCAGAGGGATGTTCCCATCCCCAGGGTGGGACCAGAGGTTTGTGGTGGCTCAAATACAAACAATTCAAGAGCCCTCCTGCATTTAGACACACCAGGCTGCAGCTCAGAGCACAGACTCCTTGGCTTAACCAGCATGAGCAGAGGGGTATTTTGGTCCTGATCTCAGGTAGCTCTGATACCAGAAGGCAAGTGAGAGAAGAAGTAAAATCCAGTACCTTGTCCTTTTTCGCCTTTGCTCCCTTTCAGTCCTGGGGAACCTGTTTCAAATTAGAAAAGCAAACATTTGACAGTTGCTTGTGGAAAAATCTGGTTGTTTTCTAGTTCTGAATACTTGTGTGAGCTAGAGATGTTCAGACTCCTTCCCTTGTAGAAAATGAGCACCCTGAAGTGACCAAGGGTATTTAAAAGAAACATGGAAGGAAAAACAGGATAACATGCAGCAAAATACTCCCAATGTGCAACCCAACAAAAGGGCCACTTTCAAAATCCCATATATTCATTCACTTATGGGAAATGTATCTCATTCCCATTGTTACCTGTAAAATGACATCTCTGACAGACTTTGGGATCTCCAGAAGCAGGCATGGTGTCTCCCAAAGTGCTTGCAGGAAGACCTGCATCCTGGGATTTGATCTCCAGGGAGAGCAGAAAGGTGCTCCCAGCAGTCCTCCACATTTCTGTGGAGCATCTTGGTCTTGAGGGTAGGGGTGTTTGAAAGAACCCATTGAGCTCTTTTTCCCAGAGCTACCTCCAGAAAGCACTCATTGCTGTCTCCTTCTGGGGACCAGGAGAGCAGATGCACCCAGAGCATGGAGCCAGACAGGTTACACTTCCTCCATCTTCCAGATGCAAAACTCCAGAGGAGGAGTGCATGGAGAACCTCCACACAGAATCTAGTTTATTTTATTTCTGAGGATTCTGTGTGAATAAATAAAAGAAAAAAGCATCTGGAGCACTGTTTGCTTCCCATGGGCTGCTGTAACTACTGTTTGTTTTTTTCTTTTTTTGACTACAAGTCTTATGTTTTTTTGAAACATTCTGTGGTTGGAAGGGAGGGGGTTAAGGATGGAGAGTAGCTGTAGTGTTGGCCCTTTTGAACAACTTTTGTGTCCTACAGTTAGCAAGGTGTAGTTAAGTAGCCTCACTGTTAGGTGTTTCCAACAGCTTCACTCTTGCATGTTCCTGAGTGTTTACATGGGATTTATCCCAGGCACAGGGTGTCTCTGATGTCTCTGAGCAAAGCAAAGGGGAACATGGGCTGTTCCAGTTTTCTGTGAAATCAGGGGTTTGGGAAAACCTAATGCCTCTGTGTACTTGCATGTCTTTTGACACAGCTCCCAGGGTGTACAGCTGACACCCTGCACATTCCTTTGCCAGGAAGGCTGATCTGCAGTCCCAAACCCAAATGTGCCACCAGCTCCACAGACCCTGTGGAAAGAGCCTTACCAGTAAATCCAGTCTCTCCCTTGGCTCCTTTTAGTCCTGGCTCTCCTTTCTGACCCTTAGGGCCATAATCCCCCTTGGATCCTTTTTGACCAACTGGGCCTGGGGTGCCTGGGTGGAAAGCAAGAAGTCATTGCCTTTGTCCCTTCCCAGGGAAAGGACATGACAAACCTTTCACATTGATGCAGAACAGTGGAAAGTGGCACCTAAAGTGCTTTGCATCATCATCTCTGTATCAGAATAAATCATGCTGTAAGAGTTTACCTGCTGGGCCCTGGTCTCCCTTTGCTCCCTTCTGCCCTGGAGGTCCTAAAATCATAAAAACAAACAAACAAACATACATTTATGAAACTGATGTTTATAGATTTACAAAAGCTTATGCAAATTAGTATTTAGAATTGATTTTAACTCATCTAGTTTTGGTGTCTACACTATAAGCATCTATTTCTGAATCAGGTGACTTACATCATACTCGGTGCAGACCATGTCAAACAAGAAAATACAGGCAATGGAGAAACATCATCTCCTGAAATTCATCTTAAACTGCTTCTTTGTTTGTGCATTTTCAATTTATACCAAAATTCAGGCCCCATCACCCCTCACACACGTTACAGATGGCAGAACCAAGCCTCTGGTGAGCAGTCAGCCCTAGCAGCCTGGCAGAGCCCCAGGAGTGCCATGGCATCCTGGGATGCACTGGGGGTCCAAGAAGAAAACTCAAGAGGTCTGCTCTTGGTGGTGTAGTTCCCTTTGTGGTGTCTGCATGATGTGTGTTGTGGACCCAAAACCTGTTTTATTCTCCCTTACCTGCTATTCCTTTTTCTCCCTGTGCACCTTTCAGTCCAGCAATGCCTTGTGCTCCTAAAATCAAAAAGAAATCAGTAAAGGTGAACCCATCACACAAAGTGAGGCCAGAGTAGGAGGGCAATGAGTTTTAGCTTTGAGCAGGGCTGTACCTGGGCTACCTTTGGGGCCCTGGTCCCCCTTTTCCCCTTTCTGACCAGGTCTGCCTTCAGGGCCAGGACTTCCAGAAGGTCCAAGCTGTCCAGCTGCACCTTGAGGTTGAGTGAAAGCAGCACAAAATGAAATGTTACGCAACACATGGAGGAGATCAAAAGACAGACAGCTCAATCACCAGCCCTTGCGCACTGAGCTGAGCCTGTGAAGGCAAAACAAACACTGGTTGTCTCCAAATTGCAATCCTGGCAGTGCTAACCTTAGCAATGCAGCCAGGGGTGATCTGGAGTGAAGGGCTGCATGGAACCAGGTCCTGGCTGACTGCCAGCCTTGAAATGCACAAGTTCTTCCCAAAAGAGCAGCCAATTTCTGCCCCTGTGTGTGCACAGGTGCCAGGAAGGAGGCCATGGCCCTTCTTTCCCTCTCAGTCTCCTGCACAGGGAATGGGGCCCACAAGAGACAGCCAAGCCTGCTGGATGAGTTTGGATGACATTGAAACATTGGCACGGTTTCTTCATCTAATCACCATCTTCTCTTACCCATGCTGGGATCTAGACCAGCTGCAGCTTTGCTTGTCATGAAACACCACATTAAAGACACCAGAATTATGCCTCCACAAGAAATGGCACATTCTGCACAGCTTACCTGCCTCTCCCTTCTGCCCAGGCGGTCCAGGCTTCCCGGGGCTCCCTGCAAGGATACCCTGGCATCAGTGCAGAGCAGCCCCTCGGTGGAGCAGCCCTGCACCCTGGCCCACTGTGCCTCAGCACTTGCACTTACCCTGGTCACCTGGAATTCCTGGGAATCCCTGCTCACCCTTAGGACCCATGGGTCCCGGGAATCCGGGGCCTCCCTTCTCGCCCTTGTCACCTTTCTGTCCTTGGGGACCTATCAAACAGCACAGCACATACATGTAAATTCCAAAAAAACCAGATTTGTTGTCTCTGCAGCCTGTGGAGCACCTCTGTCTGGCCACACCAGCAGCAAGGTTTGGCCTCACACCTGCATTACCATTCAGTGACACCATATTGTCACCATAAAGATGGAGTAGGACAGAGCTGGCCTGTGTGATCCACCTCTGGCTCTTCAGCCTCCCTGGCCAGATGTTTGTCTGGCCTGCTGTTAAAGGCTTGTCATGACAACTCTCCAATCTGTTCCCCAAACTATCCCTCCTCCTGGAATGTTTTCTCCTTAGTTAGATATCCCTTACTGCATCTGAATGCTTCCCCTCTGTCAGACACAGTGGAGATACAGAGCAGCACATTCCACTCCTGTTCTTCCAGAGAGTTCTGTCATCTCCCCTTAACCTTGCCTTCTCTGAACAGGTGATCAGCATGCTCCAAAAGAGCTGAGTTACTTGAAAGTGCCTCATTTGAAGACTTCTCCTTCATCTTTCTGCTCTAGAATTATCCCAAAGTCCTTGCCTTTTGGTATTTCTCCTACAGTCACTCTTCTCTCCTGGAGCATCCTGTGCTAATGAGAGCATTGGGGCATTCAGGAGCTGATGGAAGATCTGAGGGAGCTCTTATCAACCTGTCCAGCTGTCCTGCCTGCTCTGCACCACACACATCACCTGCTTTCTTTTCCTCTCCTGCTTTCAGCCCATGTGAGACCCCTGAGTTACAGCTATCCATAATTCATGATACATGGGACAAACACGTGGCATAGCTCTTCTCCTTCAGGTGTACAAAGCCAGGCTTATGTAAGATGCTCATAAAGCTCTCAGAAAGGTGTTCCACTAAAATGAGGATTAACATCCACATGCTTGTGCATATAAATTATATTGTATTATTTTATACCATAGAAATCCTACTGCAAACATCACTGCTTTAATCTAGGGTAGGCTGATAATTGAATATCTGTGGCTTTCATTAGACAAAGGTCACTCTGTAAAGAGACTTCTGTGGTGCAGAATCAACATTTTGCATGGCCTCTTCCCCCAGCCCTCCTCTGGGAGATTTGCTGAAGCATGACATGAAATTAAACCCCTTCAGATCAGGTCAAGTGTCCTGTTTATCCAGCTCCCTCACTGACTGGCAAACCACTCTCAGGACTGCTTGGATTTTTTATGAATACTGACCAATGAAAACTTCTTCTGGTGTTTTATGTAGAATGAGTTTAATAAGAAATACGTGTGAGAACATTAAAGATATTAAGATAGCGAAGAAGTCTTACCTGCAATCCCCATCTCTCCTTTTTCTCCTTTCACTCCTGGACCACCATTTGGGCCAGCAGGGCCAGGAGCTCCCTTGCTGCCCTTCTCCCCCTGGGCTCCATCTGTGCCTGCAGGGACAACACCATTTTCTGATGCTTCCTGGGGTGCCACTGTAGTCAGTGCCAGCAGCAGGACACCCACCACAGCTGTGAGCCTGAGCCAAACTCCACTCTCTGTGCACTTGAGAGTGGTGCTGGTGACAGTGGGAAATTGCCCCACAGTGACTGTTGCATGCTGACTTTTAAAATAAGATTTTTTTTTCCAGCTAAGTTTTGCTTTTGCTCACATTAGCTTTACATAGGCTTATTTCCTTCAGCTCCAATGTCATTCTTACTCACACCTTGGCTGAGGACAAGATTGCTCATAAAATCATCCATAAAGCCACTTTATGTCCATCCACAGAAGTAATTCAGGTGTCAAAAAAGCCTCACCTCGGTCTCCCTTTGTCCCTGGTGGTCCCCGTAACCCTGGGATGTAAAATACATATATCAGCTGACACACATCATCTATTCACACTAATGGCTAAGAAGAAGAGACAAATTTTTTAATCATCCTTTGCTCACACGATTTCAGTCACCAGTGAGGCCAATCTTCAGCTGGCAGGGACCAGAACAACCACTTGAGTAAAGTCCTTGGAGCTCAGCTGAGTGCTCAGCTGGGCAGGGGCCAGCTTGTCCTCCTGCCAAGCCCAGCTCATGGGGACCATTGGGGAGATCTTTCATGAAAATGCACTGAACAATTGGGCTCTGATGTGTAATAATACTGCTTGGCAGGAGGTGCTCTTTCAACGTCCTAAGTGCAGCCAGGAACATATGAAAACACAATTTTTAATTTTTTTTTTCCCTTCAGAAAATCTCATCAGTGTAGCCAAGAAGTAGGGATGGATGAGTTACAGACCTGACCTAACAAGGGTTGTATCTTAGATCATCATCACAGGATCATGGAAACTGTTGCCTGGCCCAACCTCTGCTCCAAGCGAGCCAGCATTAGATCAGGACCTGCTGCATCCTCACAGTCTGGAGATGTTTACCTCCTGTGGCAGGGGTGGTTCTACCCAAACCCCCAGGCACCCAGAGCAGCAGCTTGTGCAGGGCTGGGGAGGGCAGAGCTTGCACCCAGCTCATTCCTGAGCCTGTGCCAATGCTTTCCTAGGGACAGGGTGGGCATGGACCTCTGTGGGAGCACTTGGGCTGGCCCAGGCTCCTGGAGGAGCAGTGGAAAGCCTCTACACAGGCTTACACCTGCTCTTTACAGGTGGTAAATGGTCATGAGGAGACCTTTTACATGAGGTCTCCTCATGACCATCGGGTGTCTGCACACTGGGTAGGGCCCAGGTCTGGAGGCTGAAATCCCAAATCCTCACTTAAGGTCTCTGAGATGAAATAAAGAAGAAGAAGGAAAGAGGAGAAGTTGTGGTTCAGTTACCAACATACCTGGTACTCCAGGATCTCCTTTGCGTCCAGGAGGCCCTGAAATAAATATTGAATGGGTATTTTTCAGTAGTCAGCAGTCAGTGTGGAGCACAGCAGAATGGGATTGAGGTGTGGGCTGGAGACACAACCCTTCTGGAGGGCACCTAGAGCCCAAACCTACAAGTCACAGGAGGGATGAGGAGCCCAGAGCTGCATGTGCAGCTGCAAGGGGACCTGGGGGTTTGCACAGAGGTGCTCCCTTGTGACCATGTTCACAGGGGGTTTTGGATGAGGGAAGAGACGAGGATCTGACTCCATGTTTCAAAAGGCTGATTTATTATTTTATGATATATATTACATTAAAACTATACTAAAAGAATAGATGAAAGGATTTCATCAGAAGGCTAGCTAAGAATAGAACAAGAAAGAATGATAACAAAGGCTTGTGGCTCGGACTCTCTGTCCAAGCCAGCTGACTGTGATTGGCCATTAATTAGAAACAACCAACTTGGGCCAATCAAAGATCCACCTGTTGCATTCCACAGTAGCAGATAATCATTTTTTACATTTTGTTCTTGAGGCCTCTCAGCTTCTCAAGAAGAAAAATCCTAAAAAAATGATTTTCATAAAAGATGTCTGTGACACTCCCTGGTCTGAAGTTGACTCCCATCCTGGGCATGGGGCATCACTAACTGACAGGGAGATTGAATCTTGCCCTAGTTATTGGATCATCTAAATTGGGGTTTCAGCCCCACTAATGCTGCAGAGCCAGCATGGAGAGCCATACCTGCAATCAGGGTGATGTTGCTCATCCTCATCATCAGGTTTGCATTGTTGCTTTTAATTATGGTGATTTCCTCTTCTAAGCTTCTCCTCCAGTTTTCTTCTTGTCCCATGAGAAAGTTCTTCCAAGTGGGGCTTCTTGACAAGGCCAGATGGCTGGCAGAGGAACGCTGCAGAATCTCTTCTGTATAGGAGGCATTTTGCTCTTGGAGTTCCAGTATCTCTCTCTGCATCTTAAACACTGAGGAAACAAAAAGCCCATGCAGTGAATACTCGCTGCCCGCTCTGGCTGGGAAATGGGTGTTTGGCAGAGCAGCTCCCCAGCACCTGGAGGGGACAGGGGGGATAAAGACCACCCCTGTTTGACCCTGGGAGGTGGTTTTTGTGTGCCAGCCCCTGCTGCAGCCAGGAGTGCAGCTGGGAGTGCTTTTGCAAATGCAAAGCACACACACGGGCTGGGGAATCGCTCCTGTAGCCGCTGCTTTGCCCGGCGGTGTTGGAGGAGCCTCTTGCTCCCTCAGAGGTTTCAGACCCGTGTGCTCATTCCCCCGTGCCCCCAGGATCACCCAGCAGAGCTCTCCTGTGATGCCCAGCCCATGGGGAGGCTGTGGCCTTACCTTTGTACATGAGCAGCCCCTGGCCGGCCGTCAGCAGCAGCAGGTAGATGCTCAGCGCTGTCCGAGTGCAGCATGTGGATGCCTTTTTGTGGCTCCGAGGCTCTAAAAACCAAGAGAGGTAGGGTAGAAGCTCTCCCACATTTCTGCCCTACAGGCTCTGCGTGCTTGCAGCCTCTCTGGGCTTTCCAGAGGTGTGGGCATCCCTCTGTGAGACCAAGGCATGCTGCCTTCCTTTGCCCCAGGCTTTGCCCTGCAATCTGCTTGGCCATCTCTTCCTTTGCTAATTTAACCAGCTCAGCTCCATCAAGACTAAATCCAATGTGAGTGTGGTGATTTCTCCCTTTCTGCACCAATAAACTCCCTGTTTCCATCACTTTTACTTGTCCCAGGCTGCCTTTCAGAGGGCTGCTCAAAGCAATCCCTTCTCCATCCTGAGCACTGCATACGTGTGATTCCAGCAGTGATACATGTATGCATCAAAACAAATGAAAAATCAATAGTAAACTGATCTGCAGAACAAATTGAAACAAGTCATAAGATGTAAAATCAATCATTACCAGCAAGTGCAAAGGAAATAAATGGCTTTGTTGAATTTTGGCCTTCAGGGAGGAAAAAAGTATTTCAGAAGCATTGGTAACTACGTCAGACATTCAGTAAGTTGCCCTCAATTGAGGTCTTTATTTTTTTTCAAAGTAATGTAATCAGGAGTTTAAAGTCTTAGTATTAAAAGAGTACAATATTTTAATTGGTTTTACAATAGAATGGCTTAGTCAGCAATGAAGCTTTTATATTCAGCTGAAAATTCATAAACTTACATTTTTTTATTGAGTCTGGTGATTTTAGTATCTTAACTATTACACATGAAAGTCTTACTCAAGAAAATTAGACATTTTCTGAGACAGGAAAATAACTGATTTTGATGCTCAGCATCAGCTTTTGGCTAGAAAGGGTAGTTTGACATACTTCTACTTTTAAATGGCAATTAATTTACTAGCAAAATCACTGCAAAAAGCATTTAATATTTCATCTTTATATGTTGTTTTAGACCAGATAAAATCCATATAAATCCATTGAACAAAAAGAAATCTTACCACTTATCTGAAAGGTTGTGATAGCAGGTGAGGCAAACCCAATCTTTTCTGAAATACTGAAAGAGTTCATATCACTTGAATTTCTGTCTTCCCCGTGTTTGTCTGTAATTTTCATGACAAATTTCTTGTGGCTATCATAAAGCCATGGACAATAAAGAACTGGAGGCACTTCCTCTCTTCCTCCTGATTTGATATGCTTTCTGATATTCTTTTCCTATCTGCTCAGCTTTTATAGACTGCTGAGAACTCTGATGTGGTAATTTGAACAGTTCCTCAAAAAATCCCACAGCTGAGATGCTGAGATGCTCTCGTGTGCTTAGTTGGAGTCCAGCATCTCTGCACTGTGGCAGAGCTAGGCATGAGATGGACATTGTGTTTCTAACACAAGTAACCCTCCTCAGGTAGCCAAGAAGATTCCATGTTCAGTGTTGGCTTGGCCATCACTCTCCTGGGAGGGGAGGCTGAGGACTTGGTCACACTGAAACTCACAGCAGTGTGCACCACAGTGACACCTCAGTGGCTGTGTGACTCAAGTGCAAGGAGGGAAAGGATCAGGAGGAGTTGTAAAGACAAGTGAATGATGGTGGGATGGGGGATGCTGAAACCCAAAGGGGTTTGGGATGATATGGAGAAGAGGCGCTTGCAGCCTCCTTGAAAAGGTCTCTCCAGCTTCTGCTTCCTCCCTGATGAGTTTTTCACACCCACAGACACAATTCCTACCTCTTCACCATTTCATTGTTCTCATCCTGTCAAACTCCCCCTGGCATTTGTCATTCTGACACCTCCATTTGGGTTTGACTTCTGCAAAGCAAAGTGACTCACCCGGGCCCGCAGGCAGGAGCTGTTGGTAGGAGCTGGGCAAAGCCCTCCTCATCCACGCTGCCAGCACCACGTCCTGCCCTCTGCGAGGAGCAAGGCAGTCACTGTCACACCTCCTGGTCCTGGGCTGCAGGTCTGGGTCCATCCCTGGGGCCGTGTCCACCCCTGAGGCTGTGTCCACCCCTGGGGCCGTGTCCATCGCTGGGGCTGTGTCCATCCCTGATGCTGTGTCCATCCCTGGCTCCTCACTGCTCTGCTTGGCCATGGAGTGAAGCGTGGCAGAGCTTCAGGTAGGGCTGAGCTGGAGATCCTCACCCTGACGGTGCAGAGTACAGCCCTCTGTTCTGCACCTGGTGCACAAATCTCTGAAAGACTTAGACCACAAATACGTGGGGATTTTTGAATCAGCTGCTGTGTTCTCCTTTCAAATGTGCTTGTGCAGCTGTGACTCGGTTTGTCCCCAAGAGGGAGGAAGAGGAATCCTCCATTTTTAAACATTCTGCTACACTCTGAGTAGGAATTGGGATAATTTGCTTCCTTGTGAAGGTCCTTGTGAGTTAGGGAGGCTCTAGAGGTTACCACCAACAAACTGAGCCACAGAAAATGCCTGTGCAACATCTCCCATCATGGCATCACCTCCTCACTGGAGTAAGGGCTCAAATCCAGCCCATTTCTGATGGTTCTGGTGGTTCAGCTGACCACTCTGTACAAGCCTGGAGCCATCTACTCCTACTGGGTGATGAGCTGGGAATGACCGTGCTTGTGCTGCCAAGTGGATGTTTATAGGGATGGATGTGATTCAGGTGCATGCAGAGAGCAGATTTACAGCAGAGAGGCTTTTAATAATACTTCTAGTAGAATCCATTTCGTTTCAAAGTATTAAAAATAAGCTGGCAGACGTAGCTCTCGAATAAAGACAAAAGGTGCAATGAGATCTTTGTGCCCTCCTTCCCTGAGAAAGGAGCTCAAGGATAAGTCTTCACGTGATTCATGGTCATGCTGTGTCCGTGCCACTCTCACTGGCCCAGTTGGCATGGGTGTGAAAACGGGGTAGATTCCATTAATTTGACAGCCCTGAACTGCAGTGTTTTGGGTTTTGAAGTCCAATCCTCCACTTTTGGGGGGGAAATCATGAGCTGCAGTTGCCTGCCCAGCTGGTCAAACATTCCTATCTATTTGATGCAGGCTCATGCAGCTCTGCAAGCTGCCACATTCTCATTGCTCGGCTGGGCATTTAGCTGCCTGGGAAGTTGTGGTGCATTTCTGTCTGGATGTCAGCCCCTGCAAACAGGCAGCAGATTTCCCAGGCATGAGGTGCAGAGGGTCTGGGCCACGCCCTGGTGCCAGAGCTGTGTCCCAACATGCTGGCTCAGCCTCTGTGAGTGCTCCCAGCCTGCTTTCTGCTGCCTTTCATTTCTCACTGCACCATCACTGGCTGCAGCAATAGGTCGGCTCTGATTTTGCAATCAGGAGAGGAAAAAAGAAAAGAAACTGCTGATTCAGGGCAGTCTCCCTAGCTTGATGTTCTGCTGAAGCAATGGGGTTATTTATGGAATAACAGATTATGGGACATTATGGGACGCATATGCTGGGCCATCAGCCTTACCCTTTGGGCTGTTTGTGAGAAAGCTCTGGTCCCTCTCCTCCTGCTGCTCATCCTGCCTCCCCTGACACTCAAGGAAGAGCTTGTAGTCCTCCAGCTCATCCCTTTCCTTCCTACATTCATACAGACGATGCTCCCCATGTTCTCACTCTAAGTGTGCACCAACATGTGAACCAAGTTTTCTAAACTGACCACAGCTCCTCAAAGTCATAACTTTGGGGCCTGGGGGCCTGGGGGAACTGCTGCTGCTGGGAAAAGGAAGTGGCCTGGAAGTGGCTGGTGGAGCAAAAAAGTCCCTGGCCATGCCCACCACCTTTCTCATCTTCCATCACTGTGGTCCTCTGCAAGCATTTGCCACCCCCAAGAGTTCATGGCAAAGCAAAGGGACGCAGCACTAAACTCCAGCCTGGCAGTAGCTGAACACATCAGCAGCCTCCTCAGGATAGCCATTTATCCTGAAAAAACTAAAGTTGTGGTTCTTTAGAGACTTTTTTTTCACCCACGTGAAATGTCCTAGCTCAGAGGTGTTTGACCATTTACCCACAAGATGGTAATTTTTCCAGACTCATCTATTTGATTGCAGACTGTCTCAGGCATAAATGTGCAGCATTCAGGAGGCTTTCACACCTCTCCAAGGAAGTGTGTGGCATAAACAGGCCCAACACTGGGTAGGTTGGTGCAGGAACCTTCACCATTTCTGCTGCTGCCTCTAGACTGAAGTGAGGGCTGCAGCCAGGAAAGGTGACAGTCTGCCCCTTTTCCTGATACCTGCACCCATGATTCTGCAGATGGGCTTCAAAACATCACAAAGTAATCCTGCCACAGACCACATTGTTCTCCCACAGAAAAAAAGCAAGTAACTGCTTTGACTTGTGACACATCCCATACATGTCCACCACAAAGCCAGCAATGACCACAGCTGTACAACTGCCTCATCACAACCTTGCTAGTAGACTAGCTTGGTTCTTTTTTTCCCCTATTTTACCTGATTTTTCAGTCTTTTGTCTTTTTGCAATGAACCAGTTTGATGAATTTTGACATAGCAGTTCTTGTGGTGGATTTATCCAGCAATCCGCCAAACAGCCACCCAAATGTTCTCTCAGTCCTCTTTTGCAAAAGATGGGGAGAAAATGGAAGGTGAGAAGACTTGTGAGTTGATATAAAGACAGTTTAATAGGGAAAGCAAAAGATGCACTTGCAAGCAAAGCAGAAAGAGGAACTCATTCTCTACTTCCCATGAGCAGGCAGATTGGCAACTGCTTTTGGGAATCGGGGCCTCAGCATGCACGATGGCTTTTTGGGCTGACAAATACACAAACCACAAACCTCTCCCTTCCTCCTTCCTCCCCTGAACTTCTAATCTCTGAGTTTGACATCATACGGTGCAGAACATCCCTGGGCTCGGTTTGGGTCACAACCCTGGCTGTGTCCCTTCCCAATCTCTTGCCCAACCCCAGCCTGCTCCCAGGCTCAGTTTTGTACAAGCTCTGCCCACCAGTACCAAAAAACATCCATGTCAGCAACAAAACATCCGTGTTAGCAGCACTGGCTTAGCCCCAGACCCAAGGCACAGCACCATACTCTGTTGGGGTGCTGTGGGGAATTATTCCTCCATTCCTGTCAGACCCAGCAGAGCTCTCAGTGGACAGTGTTTATCCTAAAACGCCTTGTTCTCCCCGAAGAAGGAGCGAGGACTGTGATGCCTGTGGACATCAGGAGGCACTGCTGAATCCAGGGGATGCCAAGGCAGGCTGTGGGTGATCTGCCCACCAGTAGATCACGGAGGTACCACATCCGGGATCTCCCTTGGGAGTGTCTCATGGACTGCCCAGCTCAGCCCTGGTCAACATCCCCTGAAAAAAAGTGTGGCCAGCTCTAAGGGCAAGAAATGGTGCATTAAGTGGAGATTTTCTGTGCAGAGGAGAGGCTGAGGCCAACACACAAGTTCCAATGCAAGGGCATTAAAGCAAACCCTGAGTCTGGACCCACATGGAAGCAGAGGCCTCATTGTGGAGCTCCCCACATCCCTGCAGAGCCAGACCTGTGCTCGGGGGGTCTGGCTGTGCAGTAGCACCTGGTCTCTTCTGGGACTGTGGAGAAGCACTTGTGTTAAAGCAATAAAACTCCCAGCACTGCCTGGCTGACATTTCTCCTTTCTAGCTTGATGTGTTGCTTGGCTTTGTTGTAGAGATTGAAAACAGATTTTCTTTCCCTTCTATGAGTTATGTTAATTTGTGATTCATCAGAACTTGCCTCTTCTCCTCCTTTCCTTTTTTTTTCCCCCTCCTTTAGGCTGGATGCAGCTGCACCATGAATTCAAGGAACCACCTGCAAAATATTTTAATGACTTCAACCTGCTCTTTGAGGTGAATTAATACCAGGGGAGCCTCTGCAGCACAGTGAAATAGTCGGGCTTGGCTAAGCAGGCCACCCTCAAAGCTGAAAAATATGTTCTGCAAGGCTGATGGGCCTGACAGGCAAGTTTGATTTCAAGGTCCTCGTGCAACATCCTCCTCCTCACCTCAAAGGCAGTTGTCCCTTGTTCAGGTAAGAGCTGATCCCAAGGACTGTTGAGACAGGCTAAGAAATAGGGGGGATAATGAGACATCACAAAACCACATGGAGGGTGCATTAGATCTGTTATTGGTGTGCTACAAGCAGCACAATTATGCTGAACATGGAGGATCTCCCAGGGCTGCTCTGCATTTGGCAGCTCAGTTCTGGAGGGAGAGAGCAACTGCTCCCTAAGCTCCTCTTTTCTGGAATGCTTTGGTTCATCACATGCTTTCCACAAGGCCAGAAAGATTTCTCTAAGCACAGCTCACAGTGCAGCCACATTCCCACTTTCCTCCATCTCCTGGGCTTTTAAAATTCAAGGTTTATTTTTAATTTGCTAAGCAGCTATTAACCATATCAAATGATACTGCAGGTGCTGTTGTGGTCCTTTCTGCCCCACAACCAACCCAGCCAGGCAAGGAGGTTATTAACTTGCCCTGATGTTTTTTTCAGGAAAGTCTCTGGGATTATGTGAGGCTCAGGGTCATGGTATTTTTAGATATTAAACTAGTCAGGTAGTCAGCACATTGTTCAGAAGGACATTCTTAAAGAGGTTTATTATTGAGTATTGTCCTTGCACTGGGGCACATCCCAGTTAATTGCCTGCACATCAATGTGTTGCTCTGGATTTATCTCAGGGTAAACATATTAAGGAGTTGATACTTGGGCTCCCACTAAAGGACACCATGGGATGGTTTGTCTCTGATAAGCTTTCTGGCACAAATTCCCATGTCCTGTGAATGCTACTGGCAAACACTCCAGCTTAAAAATCCATTAACCTGTAACCACCCCATGCCCCTCATTCAGTGGATGTGGAGAGCAAACATGTGCGTGAGCAGCTTTATACACAGACTTGAGACCATTCCTGACAGCATATTTCCACACAGAATTAACTCAAAGCAACTGTCCTGTAAAACATGTGTGCATTAAAGCTCAGAGCTTGAAAATGCTCCAGCCTCCTCTCTCCAGGCTCCTTCCCTGCCTCTCAGCTTTCTGCTGTCCCTAGAGAGCAGCAGCCATCTCTGCTGTTCAAATCCTCTCCTGTAGTTGCTCTGGTGACACTGGGTGCTTCAGAGACCTGAAGTCATGACTTTTCCCCTTGAATTTCCTTGCTTCATCTCTTGCCCTCTGTTCTGATGTCCCTTTGCTGTCCTTTTGTACCTCTTCCCTGGGTACTGACATGACAGCACAGCTCCTGTCTGCTCAGCATTGCTCCATTCCCTTTTGGTAACTCTCCTGCTTGCCTGTGACAGCCACGTGTGCCTGAGCTTGCTCAATCTCCTGCCAGGAACTGATAAGCTCGGGTGTGAAACTTCCAGCATCAGCACATGGGGGGGAAAGCAAAAGAAAAGGAAAAGGTGCCTTTGTGGAGCTTCATTGCCACCCTCCAAGGCACAGCACCCTCCAGAAACCACAGCCAGCTTGCAATCCCTGCATTGCTCCCCACAGATCCCACCTTCAGACCAGCAAGGTTTATTTACCCTTAACCCGAGCCAATAGCTGATTGATGCTTCTCCATTATGGCCTTTAGCAATGGTAACTAATTCTTAATTTATTCTTTTCATTCTCCACTGTTTCTCAGCGTGAAGGCGTTTGTCTCAGGAGGTGTCTCAGGGAAAGGGAACAAGAAGCTGGTGAAAAAGTGAAAAATGGCAGGAGTGGAGCAGAGTGTCTCATCAAGTGGTGAGGGGCTGGGAATGTGTTGGTGTCCCTGGGGCCAGGTGTGAGGCTGGATCCTGTCCAGTCCCACTACAGCACCCATGTGTTAGGGCTGGAGTGTGTGTGGAGCCTTGGGACTCACCCTGTGCTTAAAGGCAGGTGTCATTGCTGCTTCTTCCCATGCAGAAACAAAAGCAGAGCCCTGGGTCAGTGCTCTCCTCAGAGCATCTCCCAAAGTGGGATAGTGCCAGTAGCAGGAGCGGCTTAAGGTGGTGTAAAAAGAGCAAAAATAATTACTTTTTGTTGTTGTGCTTTCAGATGTTTTATTTCTTTTTAAGAAACTGAGTACAAGTGTCCAAATGCCTGGAGAGATGCACAATGCTCAGATCTTGCCAGTGGCTAAATTGCCTGAGGTGTGGGCAGGTTTTTCTAGGGAAAAAAGTAATTTTGTACTGACCTTCAGGCTCTCTGCCTCTTTCCATAATCAACACACACCTTGTTTGGGGAGCTAGCTGGGAATTCCCTCCTTTCTGCTTCACTGGCAATGACAGATCAAGCACAGCTGAATTGCTTTGATCCCTTTGATGAATAAAACTTGAATTTGCCCCACAGCCTTGACTCTTGCCTAATTCCAACCTCTTGTATTGAACTGTTTTTTTAAAAAAATTTTATTTTATTTGTTTTTTCTTTCTTTTTCTTCACCAAAATAACTGGAAGCAGTTGGCCTCTAGGATTCTCACATTTGAGTTAGGCTGGAGCCTTCAACACTATTAATTCAGGAGCACTGCTATTCTCACCTGCCCATGAGTGTTTGAGCAGAGTTTTGACAGAAAGCTGACAGAAACCAGGCTCTTCTCAGTGATGCCAAGCAACAGGACAAAAGGCAGTGGGCAGAAACTGATGCACAGGAAGCTTCACCTGAAGGTGAGGAAAATCTTCCTAACTGTGCAGGTGACCGTGCACTGGAACAGGTTTAGAG